AGAAACACACCCACAAACACACAAAAAAAAAAAAAAAAAAAAAAAAAAAAAAAAAAAAAAAAAAAAAAGAAAGAAAAGAAAGTACAGGCAGAGACACAGAGATAGACAGACAGAATTGTGCTGTTCCTTCCCACAGAGAGGAAGAAAAACTGCCTTCTAATTGGCAGGGGCACCCAGGGAGGGGAGACTATATCTTTACCCTTAACTCTTTTTTTTTTTTCTAATCGAGAGATGAACTATGAAATCATGGAAGGAAACCCATCTTTAGAGCCAGGTGGTCCCCAGGTCAAATTCTTTTCTGTGATAGTCACTATTGACTGTCAACTTGACCGGAGCTAGACTCCCCTAGGCGTGTCTGGCAAGGATTTTCTAGACTGGGTTCAGTGAAGTGAGAAGGCCTACCTTAACTATGGGCTGGGCTTCCAGAGCAAACAAAAAGGAGAACGTGAGCTGTGCACCAGCCTTCATCTCTCTCTGCTTCCAGACTGGATGCCATGTGACCAGCTGCTGCCTCATTCTCCCGTTGCCTTTTGTACTCTTATTGTCATTAAAGTGAGATTTATTTTTGTATTTATTTTTTATTTGTGTGTGTCTGTGTATGCATTCGGACTCTCCGGTTCAGTGAGTCCTAGTACAACCCAGCTGGTGTGGGTACCCAACAATAGTCCCATTGGACTGACTATCTGCTCTTGACTGGTCCTGTGAACATAGAGTTCCCTAGCAACCCATGGCTTCCTGCTTCGCCAGGGGTGAGCAGGAGAGAGTGGTGAGCTACGGAGAGAGACAGGCAGATGGCAGGCAAGACAAAACAGCCTTCGGAAAGATGGGACAGACACAGAGAAATCCCACAGGAACAGGAAATCAGAGAAAAAGAAGGGGAACCGAGGGAGAACAAGGACAGACAAGGTAATCAAGAAATGGGGGGAAGAGAGAGAGGAAAAGTACTCCAAGCAGACGAGGAATCTACTCAGGGTAACACAGAACTCTTGACTCAGTCTCTGGAGCTTGCAGGTGTGCAGCAAACACTGCTGGGAAAAGAATTTGACATAGGGAAGTCACCCACGGACAGAGGGAGGAAGCAATGGAGGCATCCAAGGACAGAGGCAGGCAGTCTGAGATGAGCTGGCTGGGAGCATGCAGCGAGCTAGGAGGGAGGGATTTGCCTGGGAGGATGAGAGGATAAAAGGGCTTTGGTTCTGGGTCTCCTCCATACCGCCGCAGGGCCTCTGTCTGGGATGGCTAAGAACTGGGTCACTGGGTCACACACAGCGAGCAGGCAGCCTCTGCCTCCTCTCCACCACCCAAGGACTCTTGTGCAGACACGCTGCTGGATGGGGGTTTAGTAGGAGGAGCCGCCATGCTGTCCTGAGCTACCAGAGACCTAGCCTTTGCAGCCACTGGTTCTCATCTATGCCACACGGTTTCTCCACGCGGGTGTCTTTGTCCCCCAGCCACATTTGTTAATGCCTGGAGGTGTTTTGGATGCTCATAACTTAGGAAAGCGCTGCTGTCATCTGAAGGGACTGGCTAGGGATGCTGCCAAGCCTGCAATGTCCCTTCCCTTAACAGCAACAACAACAACAATGCTAAATGCTGACGGCACCAAGGCCAAGACCCCCGTCCTTCATGAGCTGAGCAAACTTGTGTAGGTAGAATTTTTAAAAACATTAGCAGTCCCAAAAGCCCAACAGTAAGCAGTCTTCTCTCCTTTGGGGCCACCTGCTCAGAGGTGCTTTTCTCTAGTGATGTACTCATTCTGTGGCCTATTGTGTCAGATTCTCCCAGCATAACTGCCTCCACCCCCGTCTCCTTAGTCGATGGACAGTCTCTTCTTCTCTTGTCTACTCCTCAAAGGTCAGCCTCCCTAGACCACTGCTCCAGGCTCCTCTGTCTCATTGTGTGTGCTATTCCCAGGCCACTTTAGCAGCCAGCAGCAGCTGTAAGCAGAGTCATCTTCCTGGGGGACCCCCCCTCTGTGAGTCCATCCTCACTGGACATTCCTCCCCCTTCACCATCCCCAAAGTCAGCCCTCTCGTCCCACACAGCCAACTATCACCTTAAATATGCTCCTTGTCTTGTGTTCCAGTCCCAGAAGCCACTCTTGAGTTCCCCCCATTACCCCACGCACAGCACAGACGCCGGGCTCTGAAGGGTACTCCAGTACTGCTTCTTACCTTTGTCCTTCCTTCCTTCTGTCCCCTCTGCCCTAGTTCAAAAGCCTAACTGCATTTGTCCACTACCATCCAGCTGGGTACCATTTATGTGTCCTTTATCAACCCACGCATCATCCATCCATCCATCAGTCCATCTGTCTGTCTGTCCGTCCTTCTGTCCATTCACCATCCATCCATCCATTGTATTCATTCTATCATCTGTCTGTCTATCATCTTACGCTACACATCTGTTTTCCATCCATTTTTTTGTTTTTGTTTTTGTTTTTCAAGACAGGGTTTCCCTGGGTAGCTTTGGAGCCTGTTCTGGAACTAGCTCTT